ATTTCACATCTGGATGGCTATGGCAGCCTTCCTGACATTGTTAAGGACCAGCACAGAGCTGGCTCTTTTCCAGCCTTGTAGGCTTTCCCTAGCAGTCCCGAGCCTGACAGAGAGCAGACCACAGATGCCTTCGTGTGGCTTTCATGGGACAACAAGCACCATTTACTGAAGGCTGCTGATCAAAAAAGCCTTCGCCCCAATAGATGCTATTTAAAATCCTCCTGTTTGCCTAGGAAGTACATCATTCCCATATGACACCAGCACCAACACAGAATAAATATTTACAGAACACTTCCCCCTCCTCTCATTACAAACAATTCTGCTATCTGCAGTTGGTAATGGACATGTGCCATGTTCAATTCTATCAAAAACAAAAGGCATTCTAAAAAAAGTTGCTTATGTTTCTAGCCTTGTCACTTACAGGCTTTGTTCCCACTGGCTTAATTTTTGTACTTTGTAATTTCTCGCTTCTACCGATTCTTTTATTTTCTTCCTCTGGTGATTAAGTATTGCAGAGTTACTGTCCTTATCTCCAAGGTTAGTTTTTAATGTCCTTTCCTTTACATTTATACTTGTAAGCCATTTCAAAATTTGTGGGTTTTAGCCATATTTTTGTCTAAATTCCCTCTTCCCATAAGTCAGACCATTCCCCCAGCTGCAGCTGCTGTCCCCTTCGTGCTCCATGCTGCTGGCTGAGGCACCCCTTAGGACACCACGGCAGACTGGTGGGCGAGTGGAGCTGCCCACCATTGTGCTCCCCGCCGCTTTCTGGCACTGAATCAGAACTTGGCCTAGGTGCTTCTCATGGGTTTTACGTTGTCATCAGAATGCCCCAACTCTTGGTGCCAAGAAGCATGACAGTAACCCCGTGGTTGAACTTTAGCCTGAAAACAGGAGTGTTCTGGCCTACCTCCCTCTCTCAGCGTCCTATGGCAACTGCAGAGGACCCGAGACTTGTGTTTCCCAAAGCACAGGTACCCTGAACAGTTACTCAAGCCCAGTAAGCACCACCTGAACAAGGCCAGCTCGTTCCCTAGCTTGGTGTGCAACGTACGCCTGCCCACTCACACTGCTTTCACATTATGCCACATGCATTTATAAGCTGCTTATTATCCTTCATCAGCGGTGGCTTCATTACAGGGCCACCACTTCAAACACCTCCCTAGCCCACAGTTCCTAGAGAGCTTGCTGCTAATGGTGGCCATTACAATCCAGCGTCTTATCGTGGTTCACCACTTCACCTTTTATCACCCTTGCACTTTGCCCAAAGCCTGTTTCCACATTCATACCACATCCCTCATTTGTTCTGTGAGTTGAGCACCCAGCTGATACCTAGATAAACCCCGGCTGAAGAATTTGTTCTCCAGCCACAGTCTCCTACCCCACTGGATGACGGCACAGTGTCTCCTCTTACGAAGACTAGACCAGACACACAACCAACACCTTCCAGAATTTACTTCCTTTCTGTTTAAGGAGGGAAGCTCCAGGAAAATGGTCTAAGATGTTGGAGAATGCCTTGCAGAGAGCAAGGCCATAGCTCCCTGCAGAAGTCGGTCCCAGCCACCTGAGGTAAACAAAGGAAAGAACCCAGGGTACAGTTATGTAAACAAGGATGAAGATCCAGGGCTCAGTTGTGCTAGCGAGGATTGTTGTGAGAACACAGAGATAAGTTGGGGACACACTACGACCTTGGGGGGTGAAGAGAAGCAGCCCTGGGAGAGAAGCAGGTTCACAGCAAGAAAGATGTTTATGCATACCAGAAATGCCACAAGGGGCTGGTGTATTATAATGTGATCTTTTGAATGTACCCAATGGCTGAGACATTATAATGTTTCTTGAATGTATCCAATAGAGTTGTAAGTAGTGTACTGTAGACTGCTTATATAAGGTGTGATTTCTTTCAATAAAGTTGAAGCTTGCTCTATCATTCACATTGAATCGGCTGCTTGCTTCCTCCACCCGCCGCAAGTGGCGCACTGAACAGGGTTTCCCAGACCCTGCTTTTCCATCAGATGGAACCCGGGACGCGGCGAACGGAAAAGTTGCGGAGCAGGAAGGCGATAAGGTCACTGTCGACGGCAGTACGGCAGGAGATGTGTGCCATCTCCTGAAGCGCCGGGATTTGTAAATCTGACGTTGGAGCAGCGGATCCACAATATTGCTTCAGGAGATTTTGTGGACCGGGGGGCTACTATAGGCCGAATTGTTATAAGTCAGGAAAGGCCATACGAAGTTTCTTAATGAAGGCTGAATTTGGGGAAATCTAGGAAAAGCCAGCACTGGTCGTTAGCTACTGATCGGATATTGCTGAAGGTCGTCCAGCTACGATACAGGAAAGGAATTTGAGAATGCCTGCCCGGGCAGGAGCATGGAATAAGAGGTAGCCCTCAAAACTTTTATTTTGCTTTTTATAAAAGCGGGGAGTAAGTCCGATAAAAAACTTAGCCACGCTGATTGGTCTGGGCAAGGCTAAGGGACACTTTAAAGAACCAAATTTATTGTTTGAAGAGGCAGAATGGTGTGATAATCTTTTAGACCCTGATGCTGTAAATCCTGAAAAAGAATCTGAACTGTCTGGTCTGTGTCCTCCCTTAATTGGGGATGATCCGTAGATAAAAGTGAGGCGGAAAAAAAAAACGTAAAAGTGAGGCAGAAAAATCTTGGCGCAAGGGAATATGGACACGACAAGAAAAATTCTTTCTCCTGTAAGCTATGAGCCGAGTCATCAGCCACGTTGGGAA